TCCTAAGCCGTTTCTTCAATTCGTATACGAGGTCCAATTGATATTTCTTAAATTTTGACGTTACATTTATCGTATCTACTACCCACTATAATACAGAAATAATAATGAGATATTATAACATGGGATTCGCCCCAGAACTGTTTGCCTGTGAGCAGATTGCTGGTGGATGGCATATTAATATTGTAGTCATGGAGCTGCTGATGGAATACTGCACAGCATACTCTCTTGCTGAGAAATATCATCTCTCATCCAGAACATTGAAGCAAGTGAAGACACTGGTAGAAAAGATGCATGACCTTGGCTTTGTGCATGAGGATCTGAGGCTCTCAAACATTCTGGTGGGTCCTGAGAGTTCAGTAAAATTAGTAGACTTTGACTGGGCTGGCAAGATTGAGGAGGCCATCTACCCACCCCTTATAAATCATGAAATCAGTTGGCATCCAGAGGTGAAGTTTGGAGCAGAATCCGCCGGAACATGACTTATATATGCTGAATAGAGCTTAACACGCTTCCCAAGAGTTGAGGTCTGTAGCATGTGGATAAAAACAGGAGAATTGCAATAAAATGATAAGAAAAAAGAACAAAAATACAAATGTTTAAAGATATCACAAAGTGGCAGACATCAGATTCTTTCAGCTTGCATACAAAAAAAAAATAGTTAATTGTCACTCCCTTGGTGAGTTTCAAGGTAGAAAATGGTTGTAACTACTATCTTGGTGCTGCAAGTTGGGATAATCATCGATTAGCTAGATTTTTTCTTTCTATGTTACAACAATAATAATGGTTATTCAAGTAGTTTTAGACTCCAATTTAGTCAGAAGCATAATATTTTCTTAATAATTAAAAGAAAAATATAAAAGCAAACTGGAAGAAGAAATGTTTGAGCAGAATGTAAACAAAACAGCAATAAACAAATTTTTGAGAAAATTGCTAAAATATATATATAGAATTAACCGAACAATAGTAATAACTGCCAGTCGACGTCTTAAAAGGAGAACGCGTACTAATAAGCGAACGTTTTATTACTGAGATCGCAATACGCCTCTTTGCCAGAAAACGTATCCCAATATGTTAGGAATTGGTCGTACTCATTTCGAAAACGTTAGAAATTACTTGATGACGAATGGTATGATATCGCGCGTTCATGGTAATGTAAAAAAAGTGCCGCGCTGAAAAACCAAAATAACCATTGATATAACCGTTGCTACCGCCGTAAAGAATTTTCTCGAGAATTACGCTGAGACACATAGACGTCAATCGCATTACTCAATCGCTTACACTTTTGCCAGTGAAACAAAGTTACAAGTCAGTCTATCGTGATTTTATTGCAGGTCCCGAAAATGATAGCACGTTGAAATCGATGCGTTTCGCAAGTTATGGCACCTTGTATTCAAATTATGAGTCCACGAACGGATTTATGTGACACGTGCCAACATTTTCGGAATGGCTTACAATACAACGCTCGCGAGGAAAAAGCGAAAAGTTTATTGAAAAAATTCAAAGAACATCTAGTTAAGGCTAAATTAGAGAAATTATTACAACAAAAATACAAAATTAGCAGAACAGAGAAAATTAGTAAATGAGCATTTTATAACAAGAGGTAAAGCCTATTGTAGCATTGACGCGACTTCTCATTATAGTTATGATTGAGCGCACGTTCCCCATTCTGATCAACAGATGAGTAAAATTTATTATCTCAGTCCGCATAAAGTACATGTATTTGGTATCCAAGATAAAGTAATACGCGAACAAATTAATTACGTTCTCAACGGAGACGAAATTATAGGGAAAGAACCCAATGGTACGCTGAGCATGGTATTCGATGGGATTAAGTGATTGAATAAAGGCAAAAAACATTTAAAGATTACTTGCGATAACGCGGGAGGGCAGAATAAAAATAATGTCGCTATTGATTTTACCTGTTATTTTAGTAATTTGTGGTTATTATGAAAGCATTGAACTAAATTTCATGGTACCTAGACATACTAAGTTCAAATACTTACTGCATTCTTATTATATACGTGGACATACTTACTGCATTATATACGTGGACGATGGATAATAATAAATAATAATAAAGAATAAACCCGACATTTCTATGCTCTAATCTGCACTTTACGTAATAAAATCCCAGCTATGCTTCCAGTACCACGCACTGATTAAGTGCCCACCTTCATCTAAAAAGATGCTTTGACAAGCGGTGAAAAGGAATGCAAGAGGAGAAAAAAGTATCATTTGTAAACAGATCTTGCTTATTTGCCTTCAAACGTATAACCCAACCTTTGCTACATCTGTTCTCCTTTAAAACCTGACTAAAAAACCAATCAGGAACGTCGTCTATGGTAAGTGGCATGGTGTCAAGTTTATGAGTTTGAAAGAGAAGAACGTTGTATCTTGCTGCGCTCCATAGTGTATCACGTTGTGACGATTGCATCAGATTGCCCGATTGTTGCCTGATTGTTGCCTGTGATCATTCCTGTCAGAAATTTGAAGCTAAATTAGTTATTTCTTTTGATTAGGTTTAGTATTTAGTTGTTCTACTAGTACGAACACCTACATTCTTTGTTTGATAGAACGTACGTCGTCTCTAAATTGTCACACATATAATTAACGATTGTTATACTACCATAAAGAACAACAAAGACGCTCAAGATGTGCTTTATGGGTTTGAATAATCTTTGTTTATCGTCGAAAGAAAACGCATGAAATTACTATATATACTGTATATAGCAAGACCGTCCAGAATCTCTCTTCATTCATACCCAGCAACCGTCAATTTAAATTGGTCATAAAATCAATCGTAAATTACCTTGACTTCATTAACAATATAAAAATGTCCACTTTCACCAGCAAATTTACTGATCGAAATTCTTCTTGCTTCATGCTTTATTATCCCTTAGACTGTTTTCCGTTCAAATTTGAACGGAATTTTGATTCACTGACAAAATCGCTTTATATCTCC